AGAAATTACACGATAATAAAAAAATAAAAATTTCGAAAATTTTAAAAAAAAATTCTACTACGACCGAAAAAATTAGGGATTATCGGTACCACCATGGACACAGGACACCCTCTAGGTCTGCCCCTGGGTTAATATGAGTCGAATCACGAATGCATCATTAGTAAAGTGTTTATTAGGTCATAAAAGTGTTGTTATATGTCTAATAGTTTACAAAGCAGCTTTAGAGTCCAACCATTTACCAAGTGAAACCTTAGAGTTTCCTTGTCATGATAATTTCATCTTGAAATTGTAATCATAGTTACCTTTCTTACGGAACGAACCATACAAAAAATTTAAATACCACTTCACACCATTTGATTTTTAATAAATTAATAAAAATATTAACATAATGTATTGTAAATTTCAAATAAATACATTTATAGAATAAAATCGACAGTAATGTTATAATGAACTTGGAAGTAATAACCATTTCAGTTGACAAGCATTAACCGTATCACTATTTATGGAGTATTTCAATCCTGGAAAGAGGAAACATAAAAAACCTATATGTAAATCACCTAATGTTGACCAAGCTATTTCACTATTATGTTCTTGTGGATCTTAGCAAGATCTATTATATTAATCTTTAATTTACTAGGCATCCTATTACGTTCATGTTCATATTCGAGTAGTTATGAATTTTGAGATGAACATCACAAGACATTTCAAATAACCACAAAAGGTTTGAACCATGATAGGAGATCAATTAAGGTAGAATTATTCCATACTTTTAAATTTGAAGAAATATTTATAATTTGGAATAAAACCAAACATATCCAAATTTATATCATTTTCTTCTCTATAAGTGAAATCAAAATGAATTTAATTTTTAACACAAAAATATAATGTTATAGCGATCAAGTAGATTGAATTTTATATATATATATATATATATATATATATATATATATATATATATATATATATATATATATATATATATATATATATATAGGGTTATGATTAAATATGAATAACAGATATAGCGTGAATGTGTGACCAAATTTTAACCATTAGATTGAAAAAAATAAAATGATGTAATCATAGAGTACATGGTATTAACATAGACTATCATTTACTATATATCTCAATTCATATCATTTTCATTCTTAGAGAATATTTCTCAAATTACAAGTTCATATATAATATTCTTATAGAATAATAGTTACACTCTTGAAAAAATAAAATACATTCTTAAAGAATAATAAATTATATACAATTGGATAACTAACATTCTTGCACAATAATATAATATTTTTGAAAAAATACAATACATTCATTAAGAATAATACATAAAAGAAATAAAACAAATTCTTAAGAAATAACATAACATTCCTCCAACAAGCATGCACACGATGTATTGTTCTTGCACTATCTCACATCAAGTGGGGTTTTGGATCACTTAGGTGGTACACATTCTTAACTTGTTAGTAGAAAACATCTTTTTTCCATTCCTGCAACAACAATGTCGCATATTTAATTGGTATAACAAATCATACAAAATTCATGTCAGCAAAGTAGTAAGCCTAAGTAATAAGATTTTAAAACATGAAAATTTGAAGAGGATTACATTTAGGCATTTCATTAAAACAAACATGTTGTAATGCCAACTCATGCGTGTTACTTAAAATTGGTGATAGGGGGATTAGTCATTTTGGGTAATTTTTTAGAGTCTTTGTTAAAATGAAAGGGATCTTAATCTTTGGTTTATTAAACAGGTCAATCACATTTAATTACCATAGTTTAAATAAAAATATCATGACAAAGTACCATCAATTACTAAGTCAAAACTAAGTAACAACCACCTCGATTTACAAAAGCATAGATTCTATCCCCAGTTAAGTAGACATGGGCCTCAATTTTGTATCTTACTAACCTCCATATCATAACAACATGTGTCAACATTAAACAACACAAAGTTGAACCCTAAATCAAATTAAACAGCAGAAAGGTTAAACCGACAATTGAATTAAACCCTAAAATCTATTAAACAACAAAAAAACTGTAAATCGAATTAAACCATAAATGGAATTAAATCTGACTGGAATTGCACCTAGAAGAGAACCAAAAATCTTGCTTCACAAAAAATTCGAGAAAATTACCTAGACAAGGGATTTTCGAGAGATACAAATTTTGGAGGCGATGGCATAAAAATCGAAGACCTTATAAGTTAGGGAACCTCCCATAAACAAGAACAAACCATTAATCAAGACTATATGTAGGTATATAACATTTTTTTATCATTAAAGGAATTTCCCACCAGCATCGTCTTCTTCGATCAATTCCTCTGCAAAAGATGAGTAGCTCGAAATATGCATTTAATACCAATGATTACTAAATTGTGAGCAAAAGAGAGGGGAGAAATTTGGAGTCTTCGATCTGGATTCTGGACGGCAGTGATGAGCATAGAGAGAGATAGACGAAGAAGAAGAATAATAATAAGAAGAAGAAGAGAAGAAGAAGAAGAAGAAAAAGAAGAAGAAGAAGAATGAGGAGGGGATTGGGGGGGGGGGGGGGGAATAATGATTAAGAATAATACTCGGGTTTCTTCTATAAATATGAGCATGTAATATTGGGTAATTAATTTATTAGTTAATAAATTTAGTATAATTCCCCTATCTATTGATTGGCCTAAAATTACTTATACATTCACATAATAGATAGGGGTTCACAAATAAACCTAACTATATATATATATATATATATATATATATATATATATATATATATATATATATATATATATATATATATACACACACGAGAAAATGAATATATCTAACAAGGAATATAAGCTTAGGTACTCCAACCCACTATACTACTTCATTTTTTTATCATATATGCATTGTAATCGTACAAGGTTCTTAAACGTTAACCCTTAATTTGATTTACTTCGAATATTTTCGAAATTTCACTATTATCTTTCTCTTACATCACATCTTTCTTTCGAAACCTACCAACTTTTATATATTATAGTTGCAAAGGAAGATTATGTAAAAGGAAGATAATGGTGAAATTTCAAAAAAATCGTGGAAGTAAATTAAGTTAGAAGTTGAATTTTAA